ACGATCACTCATTTAAAAAAAAAAAAACAACAACAAAGTTTAACTTTTATAAGCACAAACGCTTGCCTTACGCTATTCTGTGATGCGCGTTCGTGACTCTCCTGTTCGAACTCGTTGATCAAAATGAACAAATCTTTTCCCGAGTCAACTCGTTCATTTTGTTTGTTAAATTAACCAAATGACACGAAAAAAGATTTGTTCATTTTGATGAATGAGTTCGAACAGGAGAGTCACGAACGCACACCACAGAACAGAGCAAGGCGAGCATTTGAGCTTATAAAACTTAAACTTTGTTATTATTATTATTTTTTTTAATTAAATGAACCATCGTTTCACTTGATAAGACCCTTATTCATCGTCTGGATTCGTTTAAAGCCCTTTGAACAGTTTGCAGTTTGCACTGAAACTGTCTTTTGGACCTTGAACCGTTTGGTTCCCATTGAAGTCCATTATATGGAGAAAATCCTGGAATGTTTTCATCAAAAACCTTAATTTCTTTTCGACTGAAGAAAGAAAGACATGGACATCTTGGATGACATGAGGGTGAGTAAATTATCAGCAAAAGTTTTTTTTTAAAGTGAACTACTCCTTTAATGCTCTCATGCAAAACTCAAGTTTCAACCTTCCCACAGATAAACTTCGATTTGCACCAGCGAAAGTGAAAAAATTTGCCACGCTATTAAATTGAGCTTTATTTCATAATCAGATTCAAAACTCTTTCTCACCAATAACATTTACCATTCCCCAATGCTAGGATAATCACCGAATCAGCCACATTTTTGTCCATTTGAGGCAACTAGCACAATAACGGCGCGGGACTGGCGTGGATCGCCGCGGCTCCTCCTGCTGAGATAATGCACGTCCTTATATGGCCAGTGGCTGGGAATAAATAAATTGCGATTGTGTCAGGGTGACAGCAGCTGCACGCTGGATCCAAAGACAAGCGCTGAAGGGAAGGGGAGGGGAAGAGAGGAAGAGGACGATGGGGGAATCTATAGTAGACAGTGTCCGGTTACAGGACAACTTCCAATCTTAGACACCTGACGGCAGCCTGGGCCCACGAAAAGGCCCACGTCGGGCCTGAGAGGAGACCCAAGGACGGAACAAGGGTAAAACGGCTGCCAGAGCACCTCGGAAAACACATCCAGAGCTAGAGCCGGGGTTAACAGACAAGACCTTCTGGGATGGAGCGGTTAGAGGATAAGTCAATAAAACCAAAGTTGTGAAACAAGCGCCTCAGACTTCAGACATCATATGAATATGAGCGGAGTTGGAATACAGCAAGTGTTTGAGACTCTACGCTTGTCCGACTCGACGTCAAAGTACCGCAAGAGCGATTCGGAAGTCTTCTAGCTCTTTCCATCAGCTGGTGCCATGCCTCACAACAGCTGACACACAATGCATGAGCTCATACGAGAATAAACCCCATGCTTGTGTCCTACTCTATGAACTTAAACTGGAATCACACAATTTGTTCAGCAAATCATACACGCCGAGTCTTAAAATAACTCATCCTTGCCCAGAGTTATTATTGAACGCTACAGGTTTAAATAGCTCAGCATTGGGTGACATGCTCCATAGTTTCATCATTAGCAACTCGTTCAATAGGTTTATAGATTCTACCAGCCATTTAGAAATGACACAACAACATGCAATACTAGTCTTTCAATCACTGACACTGTTTTTCTGAGCGTAAATGTTCCAAGTGAACTTAATCTCGGGTCCATATTATTGAGCTACTGCAAACAGTTTAATGTTCTTACCTGCTGTGGCCAGTGCCAGCAGGGGCACAAAGACGCAGAGCGAGACTAAGACCTTCATGTTGGCTGCCAGGAGACCTCTGGTCGCTGGTCTGGCTATATATACCAGGCTGAGAAGGTCAGAGGGCGCCAACGAGAGGGTGGTCTCACAGACGGGACTATATGGAGGGGGCCGGGACCATAGGTGTCGGGAACAAGGCGCACCAGAGCAGCTGACTGTCTCTTTTAGCAGAGCTGTGACGTCAAAACCTGCGCTCGGGTACATCAGCTGGTGTTGATTTTGGCAACTGGAAAGGAATGATGTACAAGAAGTATAACAAGACAACACTATTTGTGCCACGGCATTCCACGTTTCTAAAGAAGTCTTGAATCACAATTAAACTTTTGTCCTGTTTAACCAACTTCCACTAACCCGATTACAGGCTCGAGGCGGCGCTGTAAGTCACTGGCTGGCTAGGATTGCAGGAGTTGACAGTCGGGAATAAGGTGTAAAAGTCGGCGTCATCGTTTCCTCGGAGAGCGGAGATTAACGCCTTATCATTACACCGCAGACACCGACTCGAGCACTTCACAGGCACATGAGCTCTCTCTTCTTTAATCCTGTGAATACACTGTAAAATGTACACGCAGCATTCATTTGTAAAAGACAAAAGTGAAGCAAACAGGTGGTTGTTTCTGTTGCAGAGTCTGGGATTAAGAACAATTATGCAAATCTGTTGTAAATGAGCAATTTAATAATATGACCGTTAAAACATGACTCCTATGTCCTATGCTTCTCCAGACATGCTCATTGTGAACTTAGACCAGAAACATGGTGAAAGAAGTTACTAAGTAAAAGTAAAAAGTATTTTAGGACTCCAAAACAAACTATGTTTTAGCTTACCTTAAGGGCATCCAAGATGTAGGTGTCTTTGTTTCCGCAGTAGTTTTCAATTTTGATATTTTTTAGGTCAAACCGTTCTTGTCTGTCAGTCATATAATGGAGGTCTATGGTCACCACCTTAAAGAGCATGCACAGAGAAGTCCAAATTAAACATGATTTAATGACTCGTACATGTAAGTACACATTGATGGCCTAAGACACGAAACGAGCGGTTTGTGTGAGAAAACGAACGGTATTTATATAGTTTTTACGTCTTGTAACCACAGTCACGTCCAAGTGATCTGAGGGCGTGGGCGCTTCGGTCTGCGCAAGTGCCGGAAGTGATCTCGCACGCGTGTACGTCACTCATTGTTTCCACATAGATTTCAGAAGTGTTGCCCTTCACTGTGAAGAACTAAACATATTTAGATAAACAGGAAATCACAATGGAAGACGATTTCAATATATCAACAGACAAAGTTGATTTTTTTCTTCGGCGCATTCCAACGCTTGCGTAGACCGAAGCACCCGCGCCCTGAGATCACTTGGACGTGGCTGTGGTTACAAGAGGTAAAAACGCTATAAATACTGTTCGTTTTCTCACACAAAGCGCTCGTTTCATGTCATTAAATTATGTTTAATCTGGACTTCTCTGTGCATGCTCTTTGAGGTGGTGACCATAGACCTCCATTATATGACTGACAGACAAGAACGGTTTGACCTAAAAATATCACAATTGAAAATACTGTGGAAATAAAGACACCTACATCTTGGATGCTCTTGAAAACATATCAAAAATTAATTTCAAAGTGAACCATCCCTTTAAATTTAGTTTTAGATTCACAATAGATTATCAAACTTGGGTACTGTATTTCGATGGTCCCTTTTGACTATAAGTAACTTTGCAATTGTCAACTAACTCTCCTCAGTAGACTGTCTGCTTAATATCTGCTTACTCTTTATTGTGATGCTGGATGCTCCCCAACAGACTTTCTACTGACTAAGTAACTTTGCAACTACATGTTGATGTATTTTAACCCTACCAGTCTACTAATACTCTAACACTTTAATTAGAGCTAGTAGACATGTAGGTGCAGCTTTACTTCAAAATCAAAATAAAGTGAAACCAAAACTTAAATTCTAATCTAACCCACCCAATAAACAAACATACCACTAAAACAGCAATAACACTGGACTGCAATAAAAAAAAAAATGATACTATTTTGTGCATTAACACTGACAGAACCAAAACTATAACAATAAGAGTGAAAACTATGCAAGCAAAACCAAATTGTAGTTTAAAAACCCATAGTTTTTAGATGTGACAATACACACGTTAACATCTTCGAGGGAATCACATTCTTCTGGGGTTATCTTTGCTCACGTCCGTCACACTCAGTTGTCAGAATAACCCGACAGATTGAAATAAGCTCGTCTTTCTATTTAGTATGAGGCACCCAAATGCCACAGCAACACGTCTCTAATATTTAAAAATATAGCCTTGAATGTTAAAGTTGAAATGATTTGTTACTCATTTATTTATATATATGAAAAATAGCTATGTTATCATCCACTTAAACGCACAATAATGTTGTTTACGAAGCGTTTGTCAATGTTTTTGTTCATCAACTGGAAAAATATCATTGTGAAAGTGATTCCAACTATATTGTTTATCTGTGGCCTTATCGTTATTGGTGTGAACGGGCCTTGGCTGTATTAAAATTCATCGGTTATGAAAATATATCTACAGAAGGCAATACAGTTAGTTACGACGTCACTCTGTAGGCCGAAACGCGGAAGTGAGTTAGCATTTTAGCACTACGGTTCCATCGCTCTAAGCCTATGGGATTTTTGAATGGATTTTTGCTAAATCGCCTGAAATAAGGTCTGTGGTGAACAGAGCCTCTAAATATTTTCAAGTTTTGATCTCTGACATAGAACACACGGTTATAACCTGCTTGTGTTTTTTTTTTAACTTTATTGTGTCTGTTTTTTAAAAATCTTTATATAGGCTTCAAAATGTATAAATTTCGGATTAACTTGTAAAGATTATCTTTATAGACAAAACGTGTAAGGGTCACAACTCTTTGTTAAACACAGATCTTGCGATTTTCCAAAAGTCTATGGGGAAAATGTGTTGCTTTACGACTGAGGGAACCCATGCGACGCTAGCTTCCGAGTGGTCCTACAAAGTGACGTCATCACTTCAGTGCAGTTAAATCCATAACATCATATTTCTTAAAGTGGCAGTGGCAAAAAAACAAAAACTTCAGAGAAAAAAAAAAGGCTTTTACAGAGCCTTTTATAATGTTAATGACTAACGTGAGTGTATAATTCATATAGACGACGAATAAATAACCGCACAATACACAGGGAAATTGTAAAAAACAAAGTACAAACTTTATTATTCTGTTTTTACAAAGGCACAAGCCTCTTTTCCCCAGTTTAAAAAAAAATACAATAGCTTCTCAACCAAACGGACTGACTGTCCCACATAAAGAGAAACAACAAAAATAGAAACAAAAAAAATAAAATAAAGAGATGACAGACAATAAAAGAGGGAGAAGATGAGACAAGTCTGGAGACTGCAGAGACGGCCCAGAGGACATGTGGTGTGCCAGGACAAACGTTGAGGGTTAAACACAGCCGTGTGGTTCAAAAATCACAGCGAGAAGAGCTTCGGTCGAGGAGAACATCTCTTTGAAAATAAGAGTCACTCCTCGTTATACTACAGTAAGTGCTTCAGGTTCATAAAATCACCCCCGTTTCACTCGACACACCCAACCTCTGATATGTCCTCAGGATTTACTTACAGTGATATCTGTGAGTAGAAATTACACACACACACACAAAAATAGACACCCTGTGGCTTCGGTAGAGGAAATGTTCAGACGTGGGAGGGCGAAAGAGACGTTTTCGCAAAGACAAAACCGTTATTACAGACGTAACGTGAAAAACAAAAGACAGCACAAGCAGGATACTAGTCTCTATGACCCAAGCAAACCATTATCCAAATATAAAAAGCGCGAGAAAAAGTAAATCTGCCAACATTATCCCATTCTTCTGGAAGCCCTGATTCCCAGCAGTCTTCACCGCAATATGAATGACAAGGTAGCCAGAAGGAAAAAAACACAATCTGTCCAGCAGCAAAAAGATTCCCTGTAATATTTCATAAGGGAAGGGGGACATGCACTCTTCCGAATGCAAAAAAACTCTCTGTGGCCAAATCTTGCCGACTTCAGCGCCGGCAACGCAATGCAAAACACAACGGTAGATTGATCTGGAATGTTTGGAAACATCAACTGCGAGAAGAGATGAACACGCCTCACTCTCTAGCGCCATCTTCAGGGCTAAAAGCTTAAGGCAGGCCTCTGTGCCTCACAGTGCACACCGAAGCTGAGTTAAGGCAAGCCACTGGCCATTGTTCGGCACGGGATACATCTCTCAGTCCCACCAGGGGCATGAAGAGTTCACAGTATCACGTGGCTTTTTCCAGGCGTCTCCAATCCTGGTGCTGGAGGGCAAACGTCCATCCGAGATGAGCCCCAACTCGTCCCACACCTGTTTCAGGTGTGTTTAATTGGGAACGGAGCTAACTTTGCGGGACAACGGCCTTCCAGAAGCAGGATCGGACATCCCTGGCTTTGAGAGTTCAAGCAGGAGTAGCACCACCTTGCTGTCCAAAGTGATTATCTACGAACGCCAGGAAATACAGGGAAACTAAAACATTCAAGCGAGCAGAGTGCATAGAGCGCAAGATTACGGGCTAGTCACGCCGCAGAGAGCACCTGACACGACTTGGACGACAAACGGACATGACAATACTTCTGGGAGAAGACCAAAGTGGCCACCAAGTTCCTCTCAAAGGGGGCGTGGGGGGGCGAGAACCAAAAGAGCTGCATAGGCTGAAATCGGGCCACGACAACCCTGGTAGTGCTATTTCCACACTTCCTCAAAAACAAAAACGAAACTTTACGCTTATATTAGCAAATGTGCTAAAAGCGACACAAATTTCCTCGCAGGTACGAGTACCTGACGGTTAGCTTATTCCATTCATTTGACATACAAACGACATTTAAAAAAAATTCGGCCAGAATTTTGAAATTACGACTTTAAGGACAGGACCGTGGAAGGGGGGTGTTTGGACGCGACGGAGGGAGTGCTTCACCCTACACCAACGTGTGTACTGGGAACCCAGCCCAGTAAAGGTGAGCGACAATAAGTGCACAAAGTCCCCCCTCTTTGCGTAATTTAAAAAGTGCGCGCAATACAAAGCCCCTCTGAGCAGTGTCAGTCATTGTCACGCTTTTGAGAACTTGACATATCGCCAGCAAACGGGAAAACGCCAAAAACAAAAAACGCCAAAAGAAAAGTAACATTTCCTCTAAACTTTCGGAAGCCATGGTGTGGAACAGGTTTCTGAAGTCTCATTGGCTCACAGTGATGCTTCAAGCCTCCCCAGAACGGAAAGAGGAATATGACGCAGCCAGAGCGGGATAGTGGGGCAAATGGTTCGTTTTGAGAGATGAGACGTCCTGTAGCGCGGAAACGGGATTCCTCCAATCAGAACACTCTACTGCCCTCTTATGGGCAGAATGTAGGAGAACAGGAAGTGATGAAGCAGAGGCCTGGAAGACCCATGGCAGATTCCGACAGATTTTGTGATTCCCCTCACAAAATCGCTAACCTGGGAGCGTGCGTTGGTGAAACTACAGACGACGGAGTATGAGTAAGAGCTGTATCACATGAATGTATCAACAAGTTACCAGAGTGCTATGGAGTTATAGTGTACTGTGTGAGTATACATAAACGTGCTCGTTCTGTTTTTGCGGCACGTTTCCTGTAAACCTTCTTTTTTTTTTATCTTTCAGTTTTTGTATAGTTTTACCCCTCCCCCCCACACCCACCCCCAAGAAACCTTCAAGTCATTGAGTTTGTGAGTCCCGTATGCGAGTGTAAAGAAGACAGCGACAGGAAGAGAGGAGAGAGAAAGAAAGAGTATTTCTGCGGAGGCCCTTCCACTGACCCCCTAACCCTTCTCCGTGGCCCCGGTTACATGTGGGGCGGAAATGGGGATGGGGGTGACCGGGGCAGTTAACAGTCCTCAGATCCTTCGTTGTCAGAGGCGGTGTCGGAGTCTCCGGTGTCTGTGAGGACGCGGCCCGGGGTGACGATGACCGCCCGGCGCTTTTCCTCCTCGGGCACGACCATCCTGTCCTGCGTGCCTTCGATGTGCTGGATGGCCTGCGGGAAAACAGGACGAAACTGTTGATTTATTACGTTTTTGGCTGTTTAGTTGCCAAAGTTCTGTTCAGTTGCTTATGATCTAAAACGGACTAGTTGAGGTGTGACGCTGCACATGTAATCGAGCGCTGCGGGAATGACGTATTTTTGTAGGCCAAAACCCCAGAAACGAAGCACTGGCGAGTCAACCATCCCAAAGTCGATGGGTTTTTGGTTAAATGCCTGAAATATGGTCTGTGGTTAATAGGGCTGTTGGAACGAATTCCGAAATTCAAATATAATTTGAATATTTAAAAAAATCAATACTATTCGAATGCTAAAGTTACTATTCGAATATTGCTTTTATATATATTTAAAAATAAATATATACTTCCGAAGTGACCAGGTGTAAACAACCCCTTATCGCTGGACTAGCTTTCGCGTGGCACATTCGCAAGTTCTCGTTCACTCCCTCTCTGCCATGCACGCGCCGCGCGCTATGTATGTTATGCGCGGATTCTGGGAGACTTTAACTAATTTGCGCTAGGGCTGAACGATTAATTGCATTTGCGATAAAATCGCGATATGATGAAACGCGATTTTGTAATCGCAAGAGCTGCGATTATACTGGTCACTTGACACGCGAGAGAAAAGCAGTCTGCAAGATAAAGCATCAACTTGCCACGCCACGCAGTCTGGCGTCCAGAAAAGAACAGTTTATTGTGTTATTTATTCTCTCCTCAACAATCCTGGATCGATTCAGAGAATTTCAGAATCGAGTATGAGCTTATAGTTTTTAAACACAGATGCGTGATGACGCTGCGCGTGCTTTAGAAACGAACCGTGTTCTGAATCTGCTTGCTTCTATTTTCTCGCTCTCTTTCTTCCTCACTCACACACACGACACCGCTCGAACCTTCCAAAACATAGTAACGTTATTTTATAAAGGTCGGGGTTGAACCGAATTACAAGGACATTCGCGGGCTTCATTGAACAGGTTTTGCCGCTTTGCTTGATGTTATAACGTTACACTTGCAGTGCGCGTTCTCTCCCGCGGGGATTTTCTTTACAAATGCTTCACAGAGGCATTATTTATGTCTTTTGGAATGCAGTTGGCTTATATATTAAAACCATGAAAATCACTGAGAAGGCTGCTTTCATTTTAAAATACTAACGCGTGTTTTGTGAAGAGCGCTCGTGCATGCGGCCGTGAGCGACTCATTGGTAAATGTACTTGCATGTCAAAACGCTTTTATGACGCGAAATTGATGTAAACACGGTCAGTTATATCTTAAACCAACAGGACAAACTACATTTACAATTTCAAAAGAGATATATGCATTAGTGTGAATGCAGCTTATCGAATCTAAACTGAGGGGAAATCACTCCAGCTCTTGAATGAAAAACATTCAGACAGCCTACTTTTAAATACTGAGACCACTCTTTGTTTATTGCTTGTAATGTTTTTTTTTTGTTTCTCTTTATTTTCTAGCTTTTATATTTTGAAGCTATATTATTTTATATAGCCTATTTAAAATTCTTAACATGTAATTGGTTTGATTAAATGTTTTTTTATATTTATTTTTTAAAGTATGTGTTTTTACACATGTAATTAAATACATATTTTAAGAGTTATTAAGATTAATTAATAAGAAAAAAAGTAGATCGGATCATGAGCTATCTAAAGATTCCCATCCCTACTGTACAATGATTTATTGCTTGTCTTTGTCGACTAATACAGAAGGTAAATAACTTTTTTTTTTTAAATCGCATATTAAATCGCAATCGCAATATTGGTAAAAAAAAAAAATCGCAATTAGATTATTTTCCAAAATTGTTCAGCCCTAATTTGCGGCCATCAGGGAGACGCTAAATGAGTCATAAATATATAATTTTGCACATCGTTAAGCCCCCGATATACTTTGCCGTGACGTCATTTCCAACAATATCAGGCCAAAACGAAGTTTGTTTGGGGAGTTTGCTCCAGATGGTAAACACCTTTGTACTCCCATTGGTCTGTGGCGATTAGGTAATAGGTAGGTTCGTGCAGACGTGGAAATGTTTTCCGTTTCATTTCTGCTGTTGAGTGGGTCGAGGTCAGACGGCCGTGAGTGAAAACATGAACACACCTTCTGATGAACCGAGACACTGACACTGTTTTTCATGGTTAATACAGTAACGCTACTTGATTTTTAGGAAATCTATTGCATAAAGTGCTATATAAAAAAAATGTGGCTTTACTAGAGTGCTGAATTGACCCTTCGCAGGGAGCTTGATTGACAGGTGATCTGACCAATTATACTTCGCCATTCGCCATTTTGTCTGACAAACAAAGCAGTCAGGAGATTTAGTAGATTAACACGGTGGGGTTTTCACTTGAAAAACGGAAACGCCTTTCCGCGGTTAAAACAACATTCCTTATGTTCATTTAATGCTATAAATGAGCTAGATGATTGCAAACGGTCAATTGCAGAGCTCATGCAAACATATCAATGTTGCTATGATCAGATGCTTTTCTTATGCTTTATTTAAAAATATGGGAAACACTTTAGAATATGGTTCCTTCGTTAATGAATAACTACACAAGAACCAATGAGTATCACAATATTAACAATCTAGTAACTATTATTAACCAACAAGAAACTCTGATTAACAGCACACAGATGAAAGTGTTACTACATACTTCTGTGAGAATTACTAATTATTTGGATCCGTATTATAAAGTGAAGATCCTTGGAACTGACTAGTAATGACTCAAGTGTTACTAAAGAAATTTTCTAAAAGTATACTAAAGTTCACCAAAAAGTTTGGTTGCACAAATCATGACTAGATCATGTAGTAACATTTGAGTCATTACTAGTTAGTTCCAATGATCTTCACTTTATAATACGGATCCAAATAATTAGTAACTCACAGAAGTATCTAGTAACACTTTAATCTGCGCACTATTACTAGAGCCAGACCGATATTATCGGCCGATATTAGGCATTTTCCAAAATATCGGTATCGGCAGTTATAATGGCCGATAAATGAATATTTAAAAAATAAAATAAAAACGGACGAAACACGCTTCAATCATCTCTCCTTGGCCTGTTATATTGAAAATGTATGTTTTACAATTTGCAGTATGATGTTATCTATTGCTAAATTATGGCTCATCATAGACTAGCTAACCACAAAGCTAGCTAATGCCACTATCATCAGTGGAAGACCGCTAACGTTAACATTAATGAGCTTGGAAACCACAATGAACTTTTTCTGCCTAAATAAAGTAATGATTACTGTATTTATAACTAGCATATCTCTAGTTACAGTCCCTGCATTGTAAAATGTAAGTTATACTTGCGAGGAGTGAACATTTAGACAGAGAGAAAAAGTATCAAGCGTATCTTGTGCAGAAAAGTTCGCTTTTTTTTACACGTGTGTGAAATCCAACAATATTTAATAAGAAAAAAAAAATTTCGGCCGATATATCGGATTTTAAAACCCAAAAATATTTGTATCGGTATCGGCCTTGAAAATCCTTTATCGGTCGGGCTCTATTACTTACTAATTAATTATCTTTTTAGTTAATAGTTACTATTATTTCTCTGGGAAGTATTAAAAAAATAGTAGTTACTTCGATTTACCCCTAAACGAAGAACGAAAAATAACTTTAGCTTGAGTATATCGGGGCCTTTAGTCTGGGCAACAACTGTTTACCAATATGGATAAGTTACCACACTGCGTAATGTGGGAGAAATAAGAAACCTGATAAAAAAAAATGTTAAAAAAAAAATGAAATTGTTATTCATAATGCATTATTTTTCAGTAAAAAAAGCTCCAGGTTTTCTATGCTTGTTTGTAGCGCTGCACTCACTTTTAAATGGCTTCGGGTGCCGTTCCTTAGTGTCTGTGAAAACATATATGGCCAATAAGCCACATATAAGTAGTTAAATCTCATTCATGACTTTTTCCTGGAGCTGGGTAGACTTGTGTTTTACCTGCACAATGGTGTCCAAGTTCTGTCGTGATGTGGATGCTGTGTTGATCACGGAGGCGGGGCCCATGGTAACCACGGTGACATGATGGGGAGGAGGAGGCGGCGCAGGGGCGGGGACGATTACTGTGGCGTGATGAGTGGGTGCAGGCGGTGTGGCAGGAGAAAACACCTGACGAATAAAGCACCACAACAAATTAAGGACGACTTCTCCATGAACAAAGAACCTACACTTTATTCAAGCATTCATTTACTTATATTTATGGTCTAATTGTGCACAAATCTTACACTAGTTTAAAAGTTTGGGTCAGTATGATTATTTTTTATGTTATTCTTGTGATCAAAGCTGAATTTCCAGCATCATTACTCCAGTCTTCAGTGTCACATGATCATTCAGAAATCACTCTGAGATGATGATTTGATGCTCAAGAAACATTTCGGATTGAAACATTTAAGGACTCTTTGCAGAATAGAAAGTTTGAAACAAATCTTTTATACGAAAATTCACCATGACGTCACAACAATAATAGACGTTCTTCCGGGTGGCAAAAGCCGAAGCGTCCCTATGGCAACACTAGTAAATTGCATGGAGGGAGACACACCGCCGGCAGAAGCCTAATCTACATTTCAACAGTTGATTCAAAAACAGACGTGGTGGAAATTCGGACATAGTTAACATGATCATTAAAGCTTAGATTCTTTGATCTAGAGACGTGCACTCCCAACGCACTAGACCGCGGCGCGGGACTAGATCTGATGGCCGAGTGCGGGCGGTAATGCACTCTGTGTGTGCGGATTGCAGGAGAATAAAACGACTCCCGCAAACTAGAAATATCTATGAATAAAACAAATAAAAACTAATACATTTGTATTTACATTTGAACAACTAAAACAAAATAGAAATGATTTACATGGCAGAGTTTCTTTTTATAACGTGACTGCAGCGATGAGCGATGTAGCCAATCACAGACATATGTGTTGATTTATTGAACGCATTGGCCAATCAGAAGCATTTACGATGAAGAAGCATTTACTCACCGCTCAAAAGAAAGTAACATAGAAAGTAATAGAAATAACTAAGTTAGTTGAGAACGTCAGTTATATAACGACCCACGTATTAAAATGGTTGGGTTTAAATCGGGCTCAGGCTCATTAGAAGACGACGTCCACTCGCTTTAACCTCCTCACCCACAGGTTCTGCTGGATAGATTTACTTTTTTCTGAAGGAAATCAATAAAAAAAACCTACACCTTTTGCTGTATATCTGGTGGCGCAACCCCAAACACAACATATTTTCGCCCTGGATTCAACTTTGATCAACAACAATGATTTTAACTGTGTAACTGTTCAGTTGCCGGCTGGATCTCTTCAGTTAGTCAATGGAAGCCGCTCGCGTTCTGCCACCCGGAAGTATTGCGGTGCCTATTGTTTACAAACATTCTGAAATGCCCTATAATGTTGTAAAAGTCTTCACCGTCACTTTTTATGATTTTACTGTGTCCATGCCACATAAAATACTATTTTCAGAAATCTCACTGACCCAAAACTTCAACAGCACTGTAAAATATTCCTCTGTTCACATTGAAATAACATTACATGATGGGTAAAATGAAGTCATTATGATTTGAATATCGCGTCACTCAGAAATCAGTCACGTTATACAAGTTAAATGGCTTGCAAAATGTCATTTGATGTGGTCTTTTAACTCTTCTAATGCCCTCTAGTGGATCCTCACATCAGATCAACTCAAGTTGACAGGCTGCGTTGCAAAACTGAGGGCCTCTCTTTTATCCCGTTAGTCTGTCAGTCAGTGTTAGTGTATCAGTGATATGAGCGAGAAAGCGAGTGTCTGACCAGCGGGCTGCGAGCAGGGGTGCTGGTCTCTTTCCCCAGCTGTTCCTGCTGCTGCTGAAGGCGGAGCAGAGTTTGCGACTGCACATGCTGTTCCTGGACCTGCTGCGCGATCACCTTTAGCTTCTCAGGGTACAAGTGGGCATCCAACGAACGGATCTAACAGAAACACAGAGACCCTCGGTCAGCACATATCTAGAAGGAGTAGGAGAGCAGTGTTTCCTCTGAAGACGTTTGTTGTTTTTTGCCTGCGGTAGTTTCTTCAGCGAGTTTCATGGATAGCAGCAGAGATTGGGGTTTAATTTGCACTTCAAGTGTGATGTTCAGAAACGATTCACGCTCTCAGGGGAGCTGTGCACCTTCTGTGAAATCTCATTAAATATGCAAAGACTAAAGCGAGCTAATTTTAGCGAACTGATGCAGCAAAAGAAAAGTTTGATAACGGATTTCACAGATGACAACTCTCCAGCACCGGGCCGCGATCAATAATGACACGCGATAGATTTAGTCGAGCAAAACTTTGAGAGACGGATCAAAGTGGTCCAAATGACTTCTATTGAAATTTGTCAAATACTAAATAATGAGAACACCCTTTGTAATAAGAGATGGTATATAAACAAAATTAAGCTATAAAGTTGTTTACAATTAATTTAGGACTTAATAAAAACACTACAATTTTCTTGAGCATATCCTTTTTTAAATTTGAGCCAATAAGATTGTGCATATATATATATATATATATATATATAGTGTTTGTGTGTGTATCAATCTGTGTATCTATCTATCTATCTATCTATCTATCTATCTGTGTGCATGTATCTATATCTATCTATCTATCTATCTATCTATCTATCTATCTATCTATCTATCTATCTATCTATCTATCTATCTATCTGTGTGCATGTATCTATATCTAACTATCTATCTATCTATGTGCATGTACATCTATCTATCTATCTATCTATCTATCTATCTATCTATCTATCTATCTATCTATCTATCTATCTATCTATCTATCTATCTATCTATCCACCCATCCATCTATGCAAATGTCTATCCACTTATCTATCAGTCCATCTATGCATATTTACATCTGTCTATCTATCTATAATGCATTTTTCTATCTATATATCCATCTAGCTATGCATATTTATATCTATCCACCGACCTATCCAATACATATATACATATTTATATATGAAGAGTTCAGATGCAAAAGCCTCTAAATGCCATTTGAAATTTTCTTCTTTAATGATGATTTTTATCAAACTTGTATATTTAAGTTCAGTAATTTCACTTAAATAACAATTAATAGGTAATTACCATTGCCATTTAAGTGAAATTACTGAACTTAAATATACAAGCTTGATAAAAATGATCATTCTAGAAGAAAATTTCAAATGGCACTTAGAGGCTTTTGCATCTGAACTCTTCATATACAGAGAATGATAGAGAGTAATATTTTAAATAAACAACAACATACACGTATATGATGCAGATGATAACCAATAGAATAAGACTGATATCTATTTATAAAACAACAACAATAAAAACTACTAACGCTAGCTGATTTTTCTTTACTTGACTTAAAAATAGACCATTAAAGTCCCTGTAAAGTCAAAATTAAGTATGTGTTCTGAGTTTGTCACACCACAGAAAAATGTGTTATTAGCCATCCAGCCAAATTTGAATGATAAAAAAAGCCGGCAAGTACATAAAATAAGCTATCAAAATCTTGAAAAAATGAGCAGTTATCTCTGTTCTCAAACGCTAGGGGCGTGTCCACTGGCTGTGCTGAAACCACGCCCACTCGCGGGAAGGCTAGTGTCAACGGTGATATTAGCTGATACTGCTTTCGGGACAGGAGGATGAACGCTGAGGCGGGAGATCGTCGTTTCGGCCCCGTTCACCAGTAACAGCGGATCATGAGTGAATCCAAGTTGTCTCTGAGGAAAGTTTATAAAACGATCCCGTGTAAAATGATCACTAGAGAGGCGGGTGTTGGCGGTGATCCTCAGCTCTTCATCAAGGTTGGCTCTCTAAAAACCTCTTCTTGATGTGATCGTTTTTAAGGGAATTTAAATGAAGATACCGATCTGATTTGTACATGATCGCATCCAGGTAGTAGCCCATGCATGTCCGTGTCGAAGGCATAGCTAGCTAGAAAACTGTAGGCTTAGCTGTAGTAACTAATAGTACTGACAGTCACTCGCGATTGAGCGGTGAATGCGAATGTGCTCGGGGAGTGTTTTTGTGTGTTAGGGGAGAGATCAGACTCTGTGTGCGTCATCAAATAGGGGCGTGTCCAGGAGCTCATGGGCTCCAGTGCGTCATCGAGGCCTGTTTTAGCCCCGCCCAATTAATCCGTAAAATTGCAATGGTGAAAAACTGTTTAACGGTCTAACTCCACATTTCAGTACTTCACAGTTCACAGACTTTGTAATATGTTTTAGCAATAGATATTGGAATGATTTTTTTTTTTGTAGAATTGCCTTTACAGGGACTTTAAGTTGCCACATGTCCTAATTCAGACTGATACAGAAGAAGTGAAAGTGACGTGACGCCTAGCCAAGTATGGTTTCCCATACTCTGAATTTGTGCCCTGCATTTCACCCATCCAAGTGCACACACACACAATGCGTTCACCATGTGTTCAGTGTGTGTTTGCTGCTTTAGATAAAACTTAAGCAGCAAACATTGCCCAATCCTGCTATGGCCACAGATATATACCTGTTCTTCCAGCATCATGCGAACGGAGCGCTCTTTATCCAGCTGTTGTCGGAGCTCGATCATCTCCCTCCGCAGATCCTCCACCTTCTCCTCCTCCAGAATGTCTGGGGATCCGATTCCTTCATCTTTCTCCTCGGCGCGCCTCCTCTTCGGAGACGAGCCGCTGAACTCCTTCTGAGGGGAGGAAGAGGAAAACGTGAGGCGTGTGAGAGAGAGCGAGGAGTGAAGATGCAGGATATGAGGTGAAGAGCTTCACCTGTATGTAGCGTTTGAGTTGGGTGTTTTGTTGCAGCAGCCGTGTCTTCTCCTGCTCCAGAGAGAAGATGTATTCAGCCGTCTGCTGTAAGATGGCAGCCTGAGAAAGAGAAGGATCACGTTACATACATGTACTGGTCGAATGTGACCAAGGATGTTGCTAGAAGTATATTACCATTCATAAGTTTGGGGTCTGCGAGAATTAATAGTTTTATCCAGCAAGAATGCTTTACTGATTGATCAAAAATGACAAGATATTTATTCTTCTATTCATCAAAATATGCTGGAAAAAAAGCAGCACAACTGTTTTCAACATTGATAATCAGAAATGTTTCTTGAAATCATCACATTAGAGTGATTTCTGAAGGATCATGTGACACTGAAGACTGTAATTCAGCTTTGATCACAGGAATAAATTACATTTTACAATATATTCACGTAGAAAAACTAGGGATGCACTGATATGAACATTTTAGCCGATACCGATAACCGATAACTCTTTATATTTGAAAGCCGATAACCGATATATCGGCCGATAAACTTAAATCCAAATTTTTATCTAATTTTGAGAGCCTGGTTACAAATACAAAAGTCTCACAATTAAATCCACGTCCCAAGCGCACAATTACAATGATGTTCTCATTATAGTGTTGTATAGCCGATATGACAGATTTGCGCTGCACATGTTGTACCGAACCGTATTTTCATTTTTTGAAGAGATTTCTATCATATTTCAAGAAATTCAAAAACATAAACAGTGCTCAACAAGTGTCTCAGCTGAAGGGAATAATACATTATTTATCGGCTTTAATATATCGGCCACATTTTCTTACCAGGCCGATAACGATAACATTAAATTTGAACATATATCGGCCGATACCGATATGCTGGCCGATATATCGTGCATCCCTACGGAAAACTTATTTTAAATTGTAATATTCCACAATTTTACTGTATTTTTGATCAAATAAATGCAGCATTGGTGACCAGAAGAGACTTCTTTCAAAAACACTCACACAAAAAACTTGAACAATAACATTGCAATTTTGTCCTGGCACGTACGCTGAGATCAAATCTAGATTTAAATGAGAACGTTTGCTACCCGTGAACATTGTCATTACTTGCATGCTCTTGCAAACCTGTTTAACCTTAATCAGAAAATAATGTTCCCATGCAATTAAGCAGAGGGAAGATTAGCAACAAATAATGACTTCAATTTCAGTCTTTTTCTAAAAAAAAAAAAAAAAAGCTACCGTATGGGTTCAAAAGACATGAATGGACCACGTATTGACTGAAAATCTTAACATCCGCAGTAAAAGTGCCACTAGTTTTGAAAGGTCCCTAAAAAGGTGACTCACACACTTACAAATCATCAATCAAAAGCACTGTAAGCCAAGATAGACGTAGAGACCACTGATGGCGATGGCAACATTCATTCACACATTGGACTGATCTGATTCAGCTCAAACACTCAATCCCAACTCACTGGAGGAGAATATTTCAAACAACTGTCAGAAGTTCTGCAATTTAGCATTGCAAGTTATATGGACTGCTTTCCATTTCTTAAAGGGATAGTTCACTTTGAAATTAATTTTTGGTGTTTTATCTTACCTCAAGGGCATCCAAGATGTAGGTGTCTTTGTTTCCACAGTATTTTCAATTTTGATATTTGTCTGTCAGTCATATAATGGAGGTCTATGGTCACCACCTCAAAGAGCATGCACAGAGAAGTCCAAATTAAACATGATTTAATGACTCGTAAATGTAAGTACACATTGATGGACTAAGACACGAAACGAGCGGTTTGTGTGAGAAAACGAACAGTATTTATATAATTTTACCTCGTGTAACCACAGTCACGTCCAAGCGGTTGCGAAAAACATTCAACGTTGTCTGTTGATATCTCAAAATCGTAATGGAAGATGATTTTGATATATCTAAATATGTTTAGATCTTCACAATGAAAGGTAACACTTCCGAAACCACTGTGTAAACAATGAGTTTCGCAACCGCGCGAGAGATCACTTCCGGCGCTTTCCAGCGCTTGCGCAGACCAAAGTGCCCACGACCTCAGATCATGGATGTGGTTAAAAGAGGTAAAAACTATATAAATACTGTTCGTTTTCTCACACAAACCGCTCGTTTCGTGTCTTAGGCCATCAATGTGTACTTACATTTACGAGTCATTAAATCATGTTTAATTTGGACTTCTCTGTGCATGCTCTTTGAGGTGGTGACCATGACCTCCATTATATGACTGACAGACAAGAACGGTTTGACCTAAAAATATAAAAATTGAAACTACTACAGAAACAAAGACACCTACATCTTAAATAAATTTCAAAGTGAACTATCCCTTTAAAGCTTCAAACTCATTTGGGTTTGGAACAACATGAGGGTGAGTAAAAGTGCTGTCAATTCTGAGAGAACTACACTTGATTTTTCCCAGATATTCAGACTCACCTTGCTTAGCTTTTCTCCGTCACTATGCGGGATGAGTGTTTTCAGGGACTGGAAGCCAGCGTTGATGCTCTGCATGCGCCGGCGCTCATTACTGTTGGCGATTTCCCGCCGAATACGCCGTTCCTGGTCCCGCGCCGTCTCTGGTGTGAGGGGAATGTTTGCTAAGCTGTGAAAAAGAAATGTTATACTGCACTTTAGTCTTCAAATGAATGAAACGGTATAAATATTACATGAAAATGAAAACTGTATAAATATTACATTTACCCTGTTAACCGTTTCGAGCATAGATCTGAATTTAAATGATGAATGCTTTCCGACTCTTTTTAAAGAAGACACTTGCTAGATAATTGCAGAAGTGAAAGCACTTCAAAAAATGGAAGTGTAGAAAAAGTTATATTATTACCCCTGGTTTCACAGACAAGGCTTAAGCCTAGACTAAAATGCATGTTTGAGCGGTTTTAACTGAAAGCATCTTGCATCTTTGTCTCAAGATTCATACCAGTAATGTTTTTTTTAAGACACGTTTAGAAAAGCCACTTTAAGGTCCAATCCTGGCTTATTCTAAGTCCTGTCCGTGAAACCAGGCCATGGAAGTCTATAGTTACTTACAGTGATGGAAATGTACTGAAATTAAACATTCGTAATTGCAAAAAAATTTAACTATAAAATTGCTACAAAATCAAACCTTTTAAAAGTTTATGTCACAAAAAACTGAGCTCAGAAAACTCAGATTTCATCAAAAATATCTTAGTTCGTGTTACGAAGATGAAACGAAAGTCTTACAGGTTTGGAACGACAAGAGGGTGAGTAAATGACAACTGGATTTACATTTTGAAGTCATCTTAAAGAAATTATAGTTTGATTCCTATATTGAAAACATTATGTTCTTTAAATAATGCTGTAATTTACTTCAAAGAATACCATGGCAATACCAATAGTGATATTACAATATTGTCCTTTTATTTTACAGTACTTTTTGTTAAGGACACCTGGCGGAATGTTTTGTTTTGGAATTAAATTTAAACACTAAATCAATAAAAGTTGAATAAAGTTAAAGGATTTTCTTTAAAAATGAACATTTTGACATAAAACAGTGTGTCCTTGCTTACATCCCTAAAACAGAAAGCAACATTAAGAGTGTGAAGTAATAAATACTGACTTTCACTATAAGTTGAATAAATGTGAAAAAAAAAAAAAAAAAATTAACTAAAAAAAGTGCCCATCTACTTTTGCTTACATCCATGAAACAGGATGCAACACCAGGAAAGAGAAACATTAGAGTGCGAAGTAGAAAATATTGACTTTCCTGAATGCTCATTCAAGTCCATTGTCTCTAAACTCAAGCCCCTGGAAATCTCTGCCTCACACGATCACACGCGTGCTTTGACCGAGGAAATCAAACCCTAATTGAACTTCCTCCCTGTCTGGGCATCTCACGGGGTATCTCTGGAAAGCCTCTCTTATCAGCAGCGCCTCAGCTGCGTGAGGACAAACACGGGGAACAATTGTGCAGGCGAGAGAGAGGTTTCCCTGCTCGCTTCCTTACGTCCAAGCGGCTCAAAACCCGGCAAACAGATCCCATGCCAAAATCACAACAAGAGCCAACAGTGGACCGAGAGATACGGTCAGATCAGCCGTTTCCAGCTGTACACATGAATGTGACCCAGCTTCTTTTATGCATGAAAATTAAAGGGTCAGAAGAGAATTTCGATTTCAGTATGAGACGCGAGAACTTGCACTGGTATAATCAAAGCTCTCATTACATAAAATAATTTATATATACATATATCAAATTAAAACTGCTTATTTAAAATAAATTCATATATAATAATAACAATTTATATTCACGATTTCATCATACATAAATAGTAGTGATATGACAAGATTGAATTCCTAAAATTGTACTGAGCACTACTCATATGCCATCACAACACACAAATTAAATGCTATAATAACACTCAGTTTAAGCTGGACTTTGTTTTGAGACCGCTTTGAAATTATGAAGGAATAATTACCTTTGCTTGACAACTTAAACGTGGTTTAACCGAAAATAAAACAGCCAGTGTACTAGATACTTTAACAACAGAATAATTTCACCACCATAAAAACATGTATTAATACTTTGTCTTGTTTGAAGGGTGACTTTTTAACAGTCCGTCAAGGGTCTACAGATAAAAAATAGCATTTGTGTCAAATTCTGGAACATTTACAGACACTCACTCACTACAAACAAAAGGTTAACAACATAGGCAACTACCTTGGTGTTTTGGACTTTTGTATAAATAATTGTGTATTATTCGTACCTTGGAAGACTTAATTTGATATATATTGAAGAAACATGAAATTACTTGTAAAAACGACTTCAAAGTTCACCGTGAACAACCACCCCTTTGAAGACATCATTTGTATGCCAATTGACATGGGGGAAAAACTACAATTCCCAGAACGCCCTGCGCTAATCGGTTCACTGACCCCGCCCCCTTATGAGAATGGATCGCAGATGCGTTGACGGGGCCTTCCTTCAACAGCATACACACCCCCTTATTAAAATAACACCAGTTATTAATTTACTAACCTCGAAATGCATCGCATTTAATTCACAGTGGGCCGAAACTAAAATATCAAGCGAGATAACGAACATATCCGCTGGCCTAAATAAAAAACATCGTGTTCACAGCTGACACGGTCCGCCATTACAACAATGCGCCTCGCTCTCGCGCTTCCTCCGTCCATGCGGCAGCAGCGACGCAGAGTCCAAATATCATCTGATCTCTCTCACACCGCGCGCACGGCGAGATTTCTCGCGCGTTACGCCTATTTCAACCTCATATCGGAGACACTCGTGAGCAATGGCAGTCCGGAGACGTTTAACATTGAGTTGCATTGAGAAACGGACGACGCCAAATGCACGAGCCACAAGCATGGCCGCACTGCCCACAATAACTTAAGCCCCGAAAACACACGCCAGAACACGCGAACTTCCATCCAAACACACTTTGACCCTATAAACCTCTGTGCATGACGACTGATTCATGTGTGCAACGAATTATACGCGGTTTCTAACATTAAACACGCGCGCGAGAACAGCAGCGTGGTGTGTGTGCATGCAACCACGTGGTTTGTGTTTGTTAGACACAAAATGTATCGATTTCGCCTAGATATTACACAGGTAACACTGACCTGACAAGCCAAGGGGGTTCCATGGACCCCCAGGAGGTGAATTAAATTTAGAAAGCCGAGTCTCGCGCGGGTTACGTCCTGTCTTAACCCACTAGATGGGCGCATGTACACAATAACACAGAAATCATGCGTGCATGTTACTCTAGTAGTATTGCTGCCGCTGTTGGCGCGCGATTAAACAATCGCGCACATATGTGCGCGTCTCGAGCGCAGTGGTTTTAAAGAGGGTCTCACGTACCTGCACAAGCCCCCTATGACTTCTTTCTCGGTTTTCCTGAAATGTTGCAAGGAGGGCACCTTCTGAGCTGGTACCATGAAATACTCCATGCTTCCCCTCTTCTCTCCAGCTCGGGCTCCTCGAGTCTTCTTGTACTTTATTGATTTAAAAAACAAAACCGTCTATTTGTCATTTAATAAGAAGCGCGTTCTGCTGATTTCGGGCATGAGCGCGTGAGATGAGTGTTGAGTTGTAAGGTTACTCTACTCTTCCAGCTGATGGGGTTCCCTCGTAGTGTGTGTGTGTGTGTGGCGCTCGCTTGCTCTCTTTCCCTCCCTCCTTCTGCATGTGTGCGTGTGTGTGTGTGTTTGCAGCTGATCGGATGTCTTTCAAGGCGGGAAACAGCTGGTAGGAATCACACACAGCACTGCACTACCAAAAAGCCTCCTTCCGCCGAACGGGAGGACTTGCATGTAAACAAAGGAGTATTGCAAAAGCGACCATATTATTCTCCAGTAATCAGCTGGACTGTGACAGAAAGCGCGCTGTTATACATCCTTTTAAAATGCTTTCAAATATATGCCTCGTGCGCGCATTTACTGTGCATAATGTACATTATATATGAGGTACTCATGAAACAGCATATGTTAGCCTAAATAATGTTGTTTTATTTACTATATGCATCAAAGCAATGCATAATGCTTAAGATGGTGATCTGGATTTAATAAATCATTTAGTGCATTAGTAAGTGAGCTTTTTATAGCGAAATCAATGCATGAATATTAAAATATTGATTCATTTATATCTTGCATTTCTCATAGCTTAAATAAACGGTTTTATTTTTGTATTTGAAGGCACGATGCTAAAATGTCAATGCACAATTGTGAGATCTGTTAAAGTGATCAGTGCTTGATTTAGGTTATCGAAAGCGAGATTTTACATAATAAAGAATTTCAACGCATTATATTAATATATTAGCCTGTTTTATCTGGATCTGTTGCAAAAGACGATGTCCTTTATAGTTGAAAACGAATGTAAACATGTTGGAAAGACTCAATGCACAATGCAGTTGTGAATGGGTGATGCTCGGTGAGTGTGAACACGCGGGATCAGCTGACATCGCTGGCAGGAGGAGAGAGAGGAGAGGGCTGACACTCAAACACCATTTTGGGTTTCATGAAAGTTGTAGATGTAGGAGGAGGAAGAGGAGTTACCTAATCGCTTTACTCGAAGCACAAATCACACACACAGACAAAATGGGAGCGGTCATGAAGAACCCGGAAATGTGTTTTTACTGTGTGACTGTCTGTTACATGCTGAGGGCGAGCACGCGGACGCGCACGAACACGCGTGCACGAGACAAGGGGAATCTCAGGTTTATTTGTTACTGCATAATACGTCCACTTTTTATGCGTTTTATTGAAAATAAAATACTAAATAATACATGCTATTTTATACATAATAATATTGTAAAATACTATTTGTATTATAATAAAATTATATAGGCCTATTTATATGCATTGATTTTTATAATATGTAGCTACTATATATGATATATAAAGAGAGAGAGAGAGAGAGAGAATGTGTGTTTTTAATGTTTTTTAAAAAGTCTCTTACTCGTCAAGCCTGCATTTATTTGATCAAAAACAGATTTTTTTATTTTATTTTTTTAAAATGTTATTACAATTTAAAATAATATTTTCTATTTTAATACACTTTAAAATCTAATTTATTTATATGATGTATAAAGCTGCATTTTCAGCATCATTACTCATGACTTTTTTCAGGATTCATGGATGAATAAAAAGTTCAAAAGAACAGCATTTATTCGAAATAGAAATATTTTCTAACAATATAAATCTTTACTATCACATTTTTAAAATCAATTTAATACACTCTTGCTGCATAAAAGTATTAATTTCTCTCTTTTTTTTAAAGAGAAAAGAAAATTACTGACCCCAAACTGTGAATGGTATTGTATATTATTACAAAACAAATTCTTTTAAATAAATGCTGTTTTTTTTTTTTTGCTTTTTATTTATCAAAGAATCCTGAAAAAAGTTTCAAACATTATAAGAAAAAATTTGAAACAATATTAAACTGTTTCCAACATTGACAATAATTCATCAGAAACATATAACGATTTCTGAGGGATCATGTGACACTGAAGAGTGGAGTAATGATGCTGAAAATTCACATTAAATTAGTATAGTAGGAAATCACTATTTTAAACTGTAATAATATTTCACAGTTTTACTGTATCGTGTAGGCTACACACACACACACACACAGTAAAAAGTAACTTTATCTGACTTTTATTGGTGTAGCAGTCAGATTGATTCACATATATATAAGATGGATAGATAGATAGTTAGATAGTTAGATCGATGGATAGATATTAGCATATGAAACACATTTTATTCAGCTGACAAAACATTATTCAAATGCCTTGATATCTGTCAAGCATTTTACAAAAGTTATAAAATAACAGAAATGAAAAGTATGAAATACCTATTTTAAATAATAACATAGGCCTATGGTATAAACGCGCTCATTTATTCACTAAAAACAAGTTAAAATTAATAAATCAATATTATTGTAATTCATTAAAACCACTGATTATTCAGAGATTAATATAAAATCGTGTGCATAATGCAGTTTTCTGGAGCTCGTGTTGAGTAGTGCAGCTTTAGGCAGGCGCCATCTAGTGGTTATCTAATTTAGCTCTACTATTAACACTGATTTTGGGAATTCACACACAAGAGGTATATTTTCAGAAGAAAATATTAATTAACAAGGGTAGAACACATAAAGTAATCTAACTACATTTTAACCATTAAGATGAGAATCTGATGTTATGTTATTCTATATGTAGGCCTAATACATGGACATGGAATCTGAAGATAATAATATGATAATAATAACAAAGTGAATGCAAATATGGAAAATTCATACCCTTGTCATGATAGGTCTATTACATGATCTATAGGCTACTATCAAATAAAATGATCTTTTAAAATGTATCTGCAAGAAGAAACATCAGCAAGTGCACATGCAGGCGTAAATAACACACACACACACACACACACACACACACACACACACACACACACACACACACACACACACACACACACACACACACACACACACACACACACACACACACACACACACACACACACACACACACACACACACACACGCACGCACACACACAGTAAAAAAGGTGACTGAGAAAGTTTATCTGAATATCAAAAATGACGTTTGTTGCCCTAATGTAGTTAGATGCTTAATTTGATTGATTCGGACATATTAAATCAAATACGTTGACTTAAATAATATAGCCTACCTAAATTAGAAAATAAAAATCAATCAATTGCAAATGCAGCTGACAAAAAAAAAGTCTCAGTATACACAATTAGTTCTGCATTTGTTATTATCCTTTTGTATTAGATTTGATAGAGAACATGTAGAAAATATAATTTACCTATTATACAATAATGATTGGTTATTTTATTAAACGTGATTATCAAATATTAGCTCAAATGTTTTATATAACACCAATAAAGAAACAAAGAGCGTGCTTTTAATTTATATCAGGCTATATTATGAATTATCTGAAAGAAATTAATTAAAGAGCGTCCACTATGCCAGACCAAAATGAATAGATCTAAGGAAAAGGGTCTAAGGAGGTAATGTTTATTAAAGCTTCGGCGATAAAAAAGCTTTATTAGCATGCCAATAAAAATCTTGAGAGCGCTGGAGGGACGGAGGGAGGGGAGTTAGTTTGGATGTGAGCCCAGGCCGGCCTCCTCCTCCTCGGCTTGGTCTGGATGGGGCGGAGCAGCACACATGCGCTGAGCTGGCAGACTCACAGTCAGTCAGGGCTGATCCCTCCGCCCGCTGCGCCCGAGGAGAGGAGAGGAGACACGGACAGGCTCGCGTCCGGGGTGCTGGAGACCCACCTCACCGCTCACAGTCTCCAAAGACAACGCGAAGGCCTCCAACGACCCGAGGAAACCGCAAAGCCGACACGGCGACACACCATCCGGACACGAAGCTGAAGCTCCTCTCCATCGTCTGTGCGCACGACCACCCATTAAAAAGCCTTCTGGACCAGCGCCGCCAGAAAGCGATGCACCTTGATGTCAAGACAACGATCACCACGATCCATTTTTGTGTTTGTTTGTGTGTGTTTTTTGTGCATAATTCTTAAGCTGTCATTCCAGGGTCGATAAAAAAACCAAAACACAGTACGGACACTGTTCTTGGTGTTGACACGCATGCATTCAACGGGTTTCTGCTTCATGGGAATATCCTCATGGCCTGAAACTGACATAAACTATAGACCCAGCGCGTTCACTCTGGATTGACGGCTTCCTCGCAGGTCTTTAGTTTTCTGCTTTTCTGTGTGTCCAGACAACAGTCTGATGGTTTCAGACAGCATTAGATTACTCAGCCACTGGTGACAGTGTCTTACAGGTCCTTCTGCAGACATCTGCCGGGCCTTCCTTAAAAAACAAAAACAAAAAACTGAGGCATTATTTTGCAACCCAAAGGAATTGGAGCAAAACACCCCCCCCCTGGAAAGTTTAAGGTGGGCCGACAGCATATATCCAGGAGGTTTTTTACAGAAGGTAAGTCAGTCTATTGAACTCTGATGCCACTGCAACCTTGCATCATTGATCTCCTGCCAATATAAGCATGCCTATTTAGTTTTGTCCACCGAGCACGGTCAGTTAGGGTAGCATAAAGACCCTGACCTATTTTCCAAGAGTGTGTTATGCCACGGTCTGTTTGATTTCTCAAGAGTTGACGCCTGTAGTGCCTCCAAAGAATGAGAAACGGGGCTTCCACTAATGCTCTTCGATAGCAGACGGCCTGTCTGGAAGCACGTTGTAGACCTAGCATCATGTGATGAGTTTGTTTTCTTTTTCGAGTCAAGTAAATACTTCTTTTGGGGAAGAAGCTAACGTATTCAGGCAAAGTGACTGTGATTGTCCAATGGGGTTTAGGCCTGGACATAAAGCAGCCATCATCCAATTAGGCAATTCCAGTGCCCCTGCGCTTAATTGTGAGCACATTGAGATGTGTTTTGGAACGGAGCCCGTCCTCATTGGCTGCTACACATGGGGCCATTGATAAAGAAGTTGCCTGCCAGGACATAGTTAACCAACTTTGAGAGGGGCATCTCACACCATGGGACAAAAACCAATAAAGGTTTTGCATGGGGCGGATTGATTAAATTTGGTTTACCGGCATGCGCTTTAGATTAATGATTGCCTTTATTGAAACCCAAGCCTGTGTAGTTTGTGTAATGGTTTGCATGACGTTTGACCTCTTCTTGGTATGAATTATAACCTGCTTTATTTGTTTGGGATTACGTAAAATCACTGTTTGATGAATGCATCCCTAAAGTGACCCAATCTTGCCAGATGTCATTCCTTGGGGAAATCCAGGCCTTTAAACTGACAGATAGTCAACCTCATACTCTCACGTGTGTGCCGTATGCTGCAGTGCAAACATCTCATAATATTGCCGTCGAGTCGAGTCCTCGCTTCACCGTATGTTCTCCTCCAGCTGTGCGTGCTGGCGTTGACTTGTGTTTTCGCGGTGCGAACCGACAGCTCTGCGACAGGACTGTCTGTTTAAAAAAAAAAAGAAAAACGCTTCAAATGCTTCTGGCTCACATATGAAGTGAAGCTCCTTAAGCTAAAGCAGAGCTGAACGGTGCAGAAATCTGAGATCTTGGCACATCGAGGCTTTGGCGTACTTTTGTGAGGGGTCTGGCCAGTGAATATACCGCTTGTTCCTCTCGATGCTCAGGATGGTTTGCCAAATATGACCCACCCTGAAGCGCTTGTGTGAATTCATGCCCGTTACACTCTCTAATTCTCAGTGACTAAAGAGGGGCCCCCGGTCTGGTCTTTACTCAAACGTGGGGCCAAACGGAAAGAATACGCCGAGGCTTAGGACACGTTCTTATGCGTGCATGCTGTAAGGCCTAAACACAACATTTGACAAAAGACCAAAAGAAGTGTTTGGCTTTAGCTAGCGTTTGAAGATGTTTGGGAGGGTTTTACCCACGAATCAATGGAGCGCCAGCACTATCATCAAACGCTGAGTCTATAAAACTCCATAAAGTACAAAGAAACTCCATAGAGTTGTGTGCACACTATATTTGAAATCCTTTAGGATGGCATTGTGTGAGAACCAGACCACTATTTAAAGGGTAAGTTCACCCATTCTGTCATTTACTCATGTCGTTCCAACCCCATATGGTTTTCTTTATTTATTCTGTGGAACATTAAAGTAGATGTTTTGAAAAAAACAACTGCCTTTTTTGTCCATACAGTTGTTTGGATGTCTTCTTTAGTCTTCCACAAAAGTTTGGAACAGCATTTTTGGGTCAATTAACCCTTTTTTTTTTTAGTTAATTATTACATTTTATTTAAACACAGAAAGTCAAAACTTGTCATGCCATGTTTGGAGTCGATGTCAATAATTAATGCCACACTTGGTGGACACACTCTCAAAAAGGAGGTTTTTATTGATATTTATGGTTACATGAAGAATCTTTGGTAACGCCTCGCCTCCTTTTACCCATGGACTTACTATGTACTTATTATAGTAATTATAATTACTCGGTACTAACCCTGAACCTACCCCTAAACCCATGTACTTACCTTATATTACCAGTACTTTCTAGGTAAGTACTTAGCATTACCGAAACTTTAAAGGGATCCCCCAGAGTTATCATTATTGAATCCATTCAGCTGATCTCCAATTCTGGCGGTACCACTTTTAGCATAGCTTAGCATACATCACTGAAGTGGACAAGACCATTAGTATTTCTCAATGAGAGTATAGTTCCTAGCCATATCAGCCTAGAAAAATCGCAACTTTACATTTTCCGTTGGTCTTAGTGCACGATGTAACTCTAGAAGACTCAAGTTTTAAATAGGAAAAATATTGAAACTATTTGGTCTTTTTTTTTGTTGAGAAATGCTAATGGTCTTGTCCACTTCAATGATGTATGCTAAGCTATGCTAAAAGTGGTACCGCCAGAACCGGAGATCGGCTGAACGGATTTAAAAACGGTAAAACTCAGTTTACCTCTGGGGGAGTTGTAAAACGAGCCTATTTCCCCCCCCCCCAAAAAAAACTGGACTATCCCTTTAACATCTAGAAAAAATGATTCTTTGTAGAACTGTTCACGGAAAGGTTCATTGAGGAACCCAAAATGATTCGTCTATAGCTGTGATTCCCAACCCTGCTTCTGAAGGACCCCCAACACTGGACGTTTTCTTTGTCTCCCTAATCAAATATACCTTATATATCCCCATGTGATAATGAGTTGAATCAGGTGTGTTTGATTTGGGAGACAAAGAAAACGTGTAGTGTTGGGGGTCCTTCAGGAGCAGGGCTAGGAAACGCTGGTCTATGGCATTGGAAATCCCAGTTTGGAACGTTTATATTTGAGCGTCAATCAGATTCAAGAGCTAAAGCAGGAATATTTTCACTACAAAGTGATCTGATCCTCACACAAAGCCATTGTAAGACTTGAAATACAGTGCACAAGCATTTTTTTGGGCTTTGTCAGTCACAGTCACCATTATGATGAAGAGAACAGGACATTCAGTATAACATCTTCTGGAAGAAATTCGGATTTGGAAAGAAATAATGACAAATCTTAAATTTGAGTGAACGGTAACTTTTTATTTGTGCCATTTTCTCTTCATAATTGCTAGTCTGCACACCAAAGTACATTATTGGTTGTCTCTGTTGGTTGTTAAATATCTAGTAGGACCAAGTAATTTGCTTTATTGGTTTTTTTTTTAAGCCACAATTGAACAACCCTTTAGATATTTAGAGGCAACCCATACAGGGCATTCAGCCTTAACAACGACACCCGTGATCCTCCACGTGGGCTAGGTTTACAACCTCTGGAGACTTCTGCAATGGAATTGAGAGTATTGAGAGTATGAGATGGTTTCGGTGATAGGAATTTCAGATGGTTTTATGCAATACTTCAGGAAAGAGACAGCTGACATCCACTTGGAAGAACGTTTCTGTATTTGTTTGTGTTGTGAGTATTTGAAGAACGTTTCTGCATTAGGTTGTGTTGTGAGTATTTGAAGAACGTTTCTGTATTTGGTTGTGTTGTGAGTATTTGTTTCTGTATTTGGTTGACTTGCGAGTATTTGAAGAACGTTTCTGTATTTGGTTGTGTTGTGAGTATTTGAAGAATGTTTCTGTATTTGGTTGTGTTGTGAGTATTTGTTTCTGTATTTGGTTGTGTTGTGAGTATTTGAAGAATGTTTCTGTATTTGGTTGTGTTGTGAGTATTTGTTTCTGTATTTGGTTGACTTGCGAGTATTTGAAGAACGTTTCTGTATTTGGTTGTGTTGTGAGTATTTGAAGAATGTTTCTGTATTTGGTTGTGTTGTGAGTATTTGTTTCTGTATTTGGTTGTGTTGTGAGTATTTGAAGAATGTTTCTGTATTTGGTTGCATTGTGAGTATTTGAAGAATGTTTCTGTATTTGTTGTGAGTATTTGAAGAACGTTTCTGTATTTGGTTGTGTTGTGAGTATTTGAAGAACGTTTCTGTATTTGGTTGTGTTGTGAGTATTTGAAGAATGTTTCTGTATTTGGTTGTGTTGTGAGTATTTGAAGAACATTTCTGTATTTGGTTGTGTTGTGAGTATTTGAAGAACGTTTCTGTGTTTGGTTGCATTGTGAGTATTTGAAGAATGTTTCTGTATTTGGTTGTGTTGTGAGTATTTGAAGAATGTTTCTGTATTTGGTTGCATTGTGAGTATTTGAAGAATGTTTCTGTATTTGGTTGTGAGTATTTGAAGAACGTTTCTGTATTTGGTTGTGTTGTGAGTATTTGAAGAACGTTTCTGTATTTGGTTGTGTTGTGAGTATTTGAAGAATGTTTCTGTATTTGGTTGTGTTGTGAGTATTTGAAGAACATTTCTGTATTTGGTTGTGTTGTGAGTATTTGAAGAACATTTCTGTATTTGGTTGCATTGTGAGTATTTGAAGAATGTTTCTGTATTTTGTTATGTGTGAGTATTTGCAGTGTTTCTGTATTTGGTTGTGTTGTGAGTATTTGAAGAATGTTTCTGTATTTGGTTGTGTTGTGAGTATTTGAAGAATGTTTCTGTATTTGGTTGCATTGTGAGTATTTGAAGAATGTTTCTGTATTTGGTTGTGAGTATTTGAAGAACGTTTCTGTATTTGGTTGTGTTGTGAGTATTTGTGTGTTTCTGTATTTGGTTGTGTTGTGAGTATTTGAAGAACGTTTCTGTATTTGGTTGTGTTGTGAGTATTTGAAGAATGTTTCTGTATTTGGTTGTGTTGTGAGTATTTGAAGAACGTTTCTGTGTTTGGTTGCATTGTGAGTATTTGAAGAACGTTTCTGTGTTTGGTTGCATTGTGAGTATTTGAAGAATGTTTCTGTATTTGGTTGTGTTGTGAGTATTTGCCTGTTTCTGTATTTGGTTGTGTTGTGAGTATTTGAAGAATGTTTCTGTATTTGGTTGTGTTGTGAGTATTTGAAGAACGTTTCTGTATTTGGTTGCATTGTGACTATTTGAAGAATGTTTCTGTATTTGGTTGTGTTGTGAGAATTTGAAGCATGTTTCTGTATTTGGTTGTGTTGTGAGTATTTGAAGAACGTTTCTGTATTTGGTTGTGTTGTGAGAATTTGAAGCATGTTTCTGTATTTGGTTGTGTTGTGAGTATTTGAAGAATGTTTCTGTATTTGGTTGTGAGTATTTAGAGTGTGTTTCTGTATTTGGTTGTGTTGTGAGTATTTGAAGAACGTTTCTGTATTTGGTTGTGTTGTGAGTATTTGCAGTGTGTTTCTGTATTTGTTTGCATTGTGAGTATTTGCAGTGTGTTTCTGTATTTGGTTGTGTTGTGAGTATTTAAAGCATGTTTCTGTATTTGGTTGTGTTGTGAGTATTTGAAGAACGTTTCTGTATTTGTTTGTGTTGTGAGTATTTGCAGTGTTTCTGTATTTGGTTGCATTGTGAGTATTTGAAGAATGTTTCTGTATTTGGTTGTGTTGTAAGTATTTGAAGAATGTTTCTGTATTTGGTTGTGTTGTGAGTATTTGAAGAATGTTTCTGTGTTTGGTTGTGTTGTGAGTATTTGAAGAATGTTTCTGTATTTGGTTGTGAGTATTTGAAGAACGTTTCTGTATTTGGTTGCATTGTGAGTATTTGAAGAATGTTTCTGTATTTGGTTGTGTTGTGAGTATTTGAAGAACGTTTCTGTATTTGGTTGCATTGTGAGTATTTGCAGTGTTTCTGTATTTGGTTGTGTTGTGAGTATTTGTGTGTTTCTGTATTTGGTTGTGTTGTGAGTATTTGAAGAACGTTTCTGTATTTGGTTGTGTTGTGAGTATTTGAAGAACGTTTCTGTATTTGGTTGTGTTGTGAGTATTTGATGAACGTTTCTGTATTTGGTTGTGTTGTGAGTATTTGATGAACGTTTCTGTATTTGGTTGTGTTGTGAGTATTTGCAGTGTGTTTCTGTATTTGGCTGCATTGAGTTTACAAATGCATTTCTGTATTTGTTTTTTTTTTGAGTATTTGCAGTAGGTTTCAATTTTGTGAGTACATTTTACATTTTGTGAGTATTTCCAGTGTGTTCCTGTGTTTAATTGCATTGTGACTATTTGCAGTGTGTTTCTGCATTTGGTTATGTTGCAAGTATTTGCAGATCGTTTCTGTATTTTGTTGCGTTTCTGAATTTGCATGTGTTTTCTTCAGTTGCAATGCGTTGGGCTCTTTCGGTCACGTTCAAATTTCTATTAGAAATATTTATGTAGCAGCATAAACCAGTTCTCTGTAAGGTAAGAAAACGCCAAGTATAGTGTTATACGTGTACATAAAATTTAAAAACGAATGAAAATTTTGCTTGATTCACGATGTGAACAGTCTTATCTATAATCCTGGCATTGTATATAACATATATTGTTGGATTTATGACAAATTGCTTTTGTTCGTCTTTTGTAAGTCGCTTCGGATAAAACCATCTGCTAAATGCATAAACGTAAATTTAAATGCTTATTGTAATTCTGGAAAACCCCATATTTAAATGCTTGGAAATGCCACAAAATGCTGCTTTAAAATTAATTGTGAAAACGAGATGCAGCAAAGAGCTGCGCAAACAAACTCCAGTCCAGTACCGAGAGACCCTGAGTCACAGGCTCGGTGAGACCAGTGAAACCACCCTCTCTCGCTGGGCTTGGACCATGCATTTTTCTGCAGTTAAACTGCAACCACTAATCACAGTGTGGCCTCACCGTTTCCTCTTGGAACGCTTCGCTCACGTCCTCCCTGCTGTGCAGAGCCTGGTCCCGCCCCAGCCCGAGGACCCATCGCTCTCTCTCTCTCTCCCCACCCCACTTCACCTTCATGGGACACGGGAGGATGGTCTCTGAGCCGCCAATGGCCTGGGCTCCGGTGCAAAACCACTCCAAAATAAACAGACTGCGTCCACACCGCTCACTTCTTTCCACTTTCTGTTTTCTTTTATTCTTCTCAGCCACATACTTTCTTCTTATGACCACTGCAACGAAACGAGAGGAAGTTTGACAGAAAAAAAAATTAGCAGAAGAGGTCAAGAAATACTTAGGTCAAAGGTTATGAATTGAAACATTTCCAAAATTGACTAGATAATGAAGAAAAATTAGTCAGCAAGAGTGCTTTCTTTCCCATTCAATAGTGCATCCCATGATGCACCTCACTTTTCAATAAGCTGGTTGATATACAGCCTTTAGTTTAACACATTATGGTTGTAAATCCCCAAACTTCCATTTATATTCCAAAGTTTCAGGACTTTGATGGTGAATATAGTACTAGTAAAGGATGAAAATGTGTGTACAAATTTGTCTGGTTGCATATATTGGCTAATGAATAACTCGCATTGATCGGAGCGACCACTAGTAAAGTACAAGAAACGAGAGAATGGTTTAAGCCTTTGCTGCATGACTCTGAATTTGCCGAGCCACATCACCACAATTGTTTTCCAACTGTAAGCTTTTAGCAATAAGCTGCGCACTGGATCATAACGGGCCAAAGGCTTCAGCAGTTAAACTGGAGGCGCACAGCTGGTTATTATTATTTACTTGCAAAGCCAACAGCCTAGATCTTCCAGTACAGCCCCAATAACACAACTGGAACACAATAAGCAAATAAGACTGAGCTGTATGAAGAGAGAAAGGGTGCAAGGAGGGAGTTAAAGCATTTCAGAAAGAGTAACACGGCTCTCTCAAGTCTGGGCCTGGGCTTGGCTCCGTGTCCAGGCAAATCCATTCCCGTCAATGTGCGCGAGAGTCCGGGACTGCCGCCTTCTTTCCATGATCTCCTGTTACCCACAGTTTCTCTGGAGTTGTACATCACGAGTGAGCCCGATGAAGCTAATGTTAATGCGTTCTGCCTCATTATAGAGTGATCAGAGGATACAACTCTTTTCCAGCTCTCCTGTCCCACTGCTCTCGTACCTCTCTGTTAACTTTGGCACACGGCTGAGGCTGTTGAGTGGGAATCTTTGGTACTTTCTGTAAATTCTACTGTGAATCGTAACTCTTTGTCGGATTGCACTCTACCATGAAACACGGGAGCGTTTTCTTCTATAGCTTTTGGTTAAAAAGAACTGTAAAAGGTTCAATGCAACTTTGTTTGTGTACTGCAACACGACTTATGAGATTAAGAGACACTGTTGTTGATTACTTAGGAGGAATTTAACCTGGTTTTGGAAACTTGGAGCTTGGAAAACTGACTTGTCAACAACTTGTTTTTGGAGTCAATTTTTGAATTTGTGATAATGCAAAGAAATTATTAACACACGCACAAAAGCAAGATATGACATATTAATAACTGATATTGTTGTATTCAATGTTTTTTTCTAAGCATTTTTTTTTGCATAGTAAAAGAAAACCGGTCGCTGTAGTTTGCCTTTTTTTGCTAAATAATTTTGTCAGATAAATATTTTAACCAAGTTTAGTGTTTTGTTCTTCCCTCATATTATATATATATATACACTCACCGGCCACTTTATTAGGTACACCTGTCCAACTGCTCGTTAACACTTAATTTCTAAGCAGCCAATCACATGGCGGCAACTCAGTGCATTTAGGCATGTAGACATGGTCAAGACAATCTCCTGCAGTTCAAACCGAGCATCAGTATGGGGAAGAAAGGTGATTTGAGTGACTTTGAACGTGGCATGATTGTTGGTGCCAGAAGGGCTGGTCTGAGTATTTCAGAAACTGCTAATCTACTGGGATTTTCACGCACAACCATCTCTAGGGTTTACAGAGAATGGTCCGAAAAAGAAAAAACATCCAGTGAGCGGCAGTTCTGTGGGCAGAAATGCCTTGTTGATGCCAGAGGTCAGAGGAGAATGGCCAGACTGGTTCGAGCTGATAGAAGGGCAACAGTGACTCAAATAACCACCCGTTACAACCAAGGTGGGCAGAAGAGCATCTCTGAACGCACAGTACGTCGAACTTTGAGGGAGATGGGCTACAGCAGCAGAAGACCACACCGGGTGCCACTCCTTTCAGCTAAGAACAGGAAACTGAGGCTACAATTTGCACAAGCTCATCGAAATTGGTCAATAGAAGATTGGAAAAATGTTGCCTGGTCTGATGAGTCTCGATTTCTGCTGCGACATTCGGATGGTAGGGTCAGAATTTGGCGTCTACAACATGAAAGCATGGATCCATCCTGCCTTGTATCAACGGTTCAGGCTGGTGGTGGTGGTGTCATGGTGTGGGGAATATTTTCTTGGCACTCTTTGGGCCCCTTGGTACCAATTGAGCATCGTTGCAACTCCACAGCCTACCTGAGTATTGTTGCTGACCATGTCCATCCCTTTATGACCACAATGTACCCAACTTCTGATGGCTACTTTCAGCAGGATAATGCGCCATGTCATAAAGCTGGAATCATCTCAGACTGGTTTCTTGAACATGACAATGAGTTCGCTGTACTCAAATGGCCTCCACAGTCACCAGATCTCAATCCAATAGAGCATCTTTGGGATGTGGTGGAACGGGAGATTCGCATCATGGATGTGCAGCCGACAAATCTGCGGCAACTGTGTGACGCCATCATGTCAATATGGACCAAACTCCCTGAGGAATGCTTCCAGCACCTTGTTGAATCTATGCCACGAAGAATTGAGGCAGTTCTGAAGGCAAAAGGGGGTCCAACCCGTTACTAGCATGGGGTACCTAATAAAGTGGCCGGTGAGTGTATATATATATATATATATATATATATATATATATATATATAATAGGGCTGTCGTCAACCGATTAATCGCAATTAATTGCATCCAAAATAAAAGTTTGTGTTTGTTTACATAGTATATGTTGGTGCACTGTGTATAATCATATATATATATATATATATATATATATATATATATATATAAATACACACACATGCTTGTATATATTTAAGAAATATTTTCATGTATATTCTGTATATAGATTTATATATAATTTATATTATATATAAATATAAATATTTTATATATAAATAATATTTTTCCTTAAATATACATTCTGGTGTGTGTTTTTATATATACAAAAAAATTATACACATTGCACCCACATATATTATGTAAACAAAAACTTTTATTTTGGATGCGATTAACTGCGATTAATCGGTTGACAGCCCTAATATATATATATATATATATATATATACTGTATATATATTAGCCTTTTAATGATCATCAACATGTCTTGATATTTATGCTTTTAGTGTAAAATAGTTTAAAAGAAACCAGCTAAACGCTACTTGTAGATTCAGAATGTTTAGTATTGTTTAGTATAAGAACTAAAACTGGTAAAAGTCCAGAAAAAAAATGCTAAACATCAATATTTAGCAACATAAGCTAGCGTTCCAAAGTTCGGGGTTGGTAAGAATCTGTATTTAAAAAAAAAAAAAAAAAATGCCATTCAGAATCTTTTGTGAAAATTTTGATGCAAACGAATTAGAGTTGAATCAGAGTTGAGTTGACTTCAAAATGAGTTTGAAGTGATTCACAGTGAATTCATAAATCAAACTCACCGCTTTTGCTCCTGAAGAGACTTAAAATGAGTCGCAAATCTGAGAAAACAGAATCACTGTGATATTCATTTTATTGTTTAATTTTATATCTCTAGAAATATCACCATGACTAAAACGTACAGCGGTAATACCGTGGTATTCTTTGAGTCTTGATTGGCGTACCATGTAAATTCCATGGTATATAAATACGGTACAGTACCACAAACACACACTCTTCAATAAAGGCCCCTAATTTGAGCTGAAATGTACATTTATCTAGACAACTGCGCTGCAATATTTGCAGTTTTAGTTTTGTTCCCCTCGCACACCAAACTCTCCCTCCATCCATCCATCCATCACTCTGAAATGATACCTCTCCAGGTACACTACTCACACTGCCTATCTATCGCTCTGTCCCTTGTTTACTCTCTCCGATGGAGACTGAAGATGAAAGGCCCTCCGTGTTTCTGGAGGAGCCTGCCGCTCAGCTGAGCCGAGTCAAAGAAACGGAGGGAGATAAAGGGTGAGAGAAAGAGGGAAGGAGGGGGAAAATCCTGTCATGTTGACCTTGTCTGGCTGCCAGGGATCGGAGGGGGGGAGTATTGAGGGGAGGGCGGTCTTGCTTTGAGAAAACAGGCGCCCCATGTGAGGGGAACGAGAGAACACAGGCACACAGTGAGGCTGGCAGAGACAGAAGGAAAGAAGAACAGAGGCAGAGAGAAAAGAGTGTGTGTGTGTGTGTGTGCCTGTCTGAGAGGGAGAATAGGTAGAAGATCAGCAACGACGCCCACTGTGTCTTCCTGCAAAAACTATTTATATTGCAGAAAACATTCATTTAAGGTTCCTTTTGTTTTTGATATGCGTGGCTCGAAGATTTAAAAGTCTAAACGTATAATAATACAAATATGTATTGACAATTTTTTCTACCTTCTATTACTTATTTAGATGTAAGTCCCAAATAAAGACTTAAAACTTAAAAAAATAAACATTTCTTATGATCGTCGAGATCAACAAAGGCATGGAGATGCTCACCATTAATTATAAATTTAGGAAAGACAGATTAACAACTATATTTTCCACAATACTAGATTTGTTTTATTTTATCTCTGTTAAAAACTAAAACTGTCAACTTTATAAAATAATTAATCGGATGATTTCTACATAAAAATATTTTATGTTTTTAGTCCTCCTGTGGTAAAAATCCAGTTTTTAATATTGTTTTTGTGTTTATGTGGTGTTTTTAATATGCTTTAACACAAACCATGTGCAAGTTCATAAGTCGACAGTATTGCTGAGTGTTTATAAAACTGCAGTGAACACAACACACGGTTTGCAATCGTTGGTGTTTCTGACTTCACAAACGACCTTGTAGCCAATCAGATCAACGAGTGGATCTCTGAGCTGAGTGAGTGAGTGGAGGCGGGGCTCATTTGCATATTCATAGATATGCGTATACTAATTGTATACAATATTCATTTAACCTTACATTTTATCCTATAAAAACATTGTTTGCATATCATGTGACCATTACCCTACATCAGAAAACCACGAATATGCAAATGTGTTGTTAAATTGTTAAAATATTACCTTTAGGGGCAATTAAGTAAGTATTTTAGGTCAAAGGGGTTCGGCGGATGAAATGTTTCTGGGTTAAACAACCACCAGCACGACTTAACATCACTTTAATTTGTCATCTAATTACACTGTTTTGTTCTGAGTTCCTTCATCTTCCTGTTTTCTTTCCACCGCGGTGTGTTTTGGTTTCGAGATCTGAACACCCGCCCCGCCTCTCACTCCTGAACAGCCGCTCATTCCCAAACATTCCCTGTCGCCTCCAGCCCGGGCAGCACACAGGTGTCCATCAACATGCCGGAGGAATCCTGGCCAAATTAAAAAATCACCGCAATACTCCATCATGTGAGCCGCCGGGATCCTGACACTACTGACATCGCCAGTCACAGCAAATTACGCTTGATTTCGGCTTTGTGAACATACACTGCAAAAAAAATATTTATGACTTGTTTTCCAGTACAAATATGTAAATTATATCCATCTTGATATCACTCTTAAAGGAGTAGTTAATTTTAAAAAAACTTTTGGTGATAATTTACTCACCCCCATGTCATCCAAGATGTCCATGTCATTCTTTCTTCAGTCGAAAAGAAATTAAGGTTTTTGATGAAAACATTCCAGGATTTTCTCCATATAATGGACTTCAATGGGAACCAAACGGTTCAAGGTCCAAAAGACAGTTTCAGTACAAACTGGTCAAAGTGCTTGAAACGATTCCAGATGATGAATAAGGGTCTTATCAAGCAAAACGATCGCTCATTTAATAAATAAATAACAAAGTTTAAGTTTTATAAGCTCAAATGGTCGCCTTGCTCTGTTTTGTGATGAGCGTTTGTGACTCTCCTGTTCAAACTCTTTCATCAAAATGAACAAATCTTTTTTCGTGTCATTTGGTTCATTCAGTGAACGAAATGAACGAGTTGAGTCGGGAAAAGATTTGTTCATTTTGATGAAAGAGTTTGAACAGGAGAGTCACAAACGCTCATCACAGAACAGAGCAAGGCGACCATTTGAGCTTATAAAACGTAAACTTTTTTATTTATTTTTTTAAATGAGCGAGCGTTTCGCTTGATAAGACCCTTATTCATCATCTGTAATCGTTTAAAGGCCCTTGAACAGTTTGCAGTTTGCACTGAAACTCTCATTTGGACCGTTTGGTTCCCATTGAAGTCCATTATATGGAGAAAAATCATCAAAAACCATCAAAAACCTTAATTTCATTTCGACTGAAGAAAGAAAGACATGGACGTCTTGGATGACATGGGGGTGAGTAAATTATCAGCAAAAGTTTTTTTTTTTAAAGTGAACTACTCCTTTAAATACACCAGATAACGAGCAACTAAACAAGAAACAGGTAATGAACATAATCGGTAACTAATTAAGTGAGTTTATGTTAAACTTAATTCTATCAAGATTTTTTTCTAACCCCATTAGCAGATATTTGTACTTGTTTTAAGCATAAAGTCACTTATTTTGGATCTTTTTTTTTTCTTAAGAAAACAAGACTCAATGGCCTGGTTTCACAGACAGGGCTTAGATTAAGTCAGCATTATCCCATAGTTAGTTCAAATAGGACAATTAAGTGGCTTTTATAAATGTGCCTTGGAAAACATTACTGATGTGAATCTTGAGAAAAAAATAATGTTATGATATAATTTTAGATATGCCAGTGCCAGTTGTTTTCAGTTAAAACAGCTCAAACATGTCTTAACTAGCTTAAAGGAGAACTCCGGCGAACAATGAACCTTTGGTCTAATAAAACATCGGTACATAGTCAACAGTTCTCTAAGATTTATTTTCATGATAATCGAATGTAAAGAGTTTTATCTCTAAAAACTGTTTAGCGTATAATGCTAGTACTGGGGGCATTGACTAAGTAAAAGAAATCGCTAGTTTATACCACTAATAAGGCTCAAAATAGCCCCACACTAACACAGTAACATAATGAGGGTCCATACATGCAAAACGAAGCATTGAGAACTTTGTAAGTGTACAGACCGTTTAATAAGAAGATACTTTATGAAGACAGTTCACTTCGTGTATACAGACAGGAGCCATCTTAAAAAATAGTCTCGATAAGTCGATTCCCCGAACGTCGTGCTGAGTGATCTGAACTCTATGAAGTTCAGTGAACTTCTGAACTGTATGAACCGCTTTCGGGGATCGACTTATCGAGACTATTTTTTAAGATGGCTCCTGTCTGTATACACGAAGTGAACTGTCTTCATAAAGTATCTTCTTATTAAACGGTCTGTACACTTACAAAGTTCTCAATGCTTCGTTTTGCATGTATGGACCCTCATTATGTTACTGCGTTACTGTGGGGCTATTTTGAGCCTTGTTAGTGGTATAAACTAGCTATTTCTCTTTACTTAGTCAATGCCCCCATTACTAGCATTATACGCTAAACAGTTTTTAGAGATAAAACTCTTTACATTCGATTATCATGAAAACAAATCTCAGAGAACTGTTGACTATGTACCGATGTTTTATTAGACCAAAGGTTCATTGTTCGCCGGAGTTCTCCTTTAAGCCTTGTCTGTGAAACCAGGCAAATATCAAATAAATATATCTTGATTTAAGAATGTTTATATATTTTACTGATAAACAAGAGTAAGAAATGTTTTTTTTGCAGTGAGGGCATGGGCTTTTAGTAAAAAAAAAAAAAAATAGAGATTTTTTTGCCTCTGTAATATTCGAATTGAGGAAATGAGTGCGAGTCTGAGACAGCACCTCCCGAAGTTTGAAGTATATCCGCTGCGCCCAGTGTTGGCCCGAACTCAAAGTGCAGCCTGCCTGCTGTATGTTTTATTCCTCTTATAAAAGCAAGAGCCCCTCGAGCCCCTAAGCTCACGCTTGACATGACATTCGCTCTCGGTGTCGCTGCAGGGAACTGAAATATAGCAGAAGGTCGTTGCCCAACGTGCCGAGTTTCCATGCGCTCGTCAGCTCCCGTAAATCTGCGGCTGGGAGTCTGTTAACGCTGTGGGATGGAAGGGAACGCCAGACCCTCGCTCTACACCCACACATTTGCCACCGCACCCAATGGTCGAAGTGTTGAGGCACGGTTTTACTTTTTTAGACAGGACATTCTCAAACAGACATCAAACATCTTGAGTTTCTGGACAATCTCATGTGTATTTAAAGTTATCTAAAGGTTAGTTCACTCAAAAATGAAAATCCTGTCATACTCTGCTCTGATTGGTCAGATGACCCAGTCTGCTGTGATTGGTCTACTCTGCTCTGATTGGTCAGATGATCCAGTCTGTTGTGATTGGTCTACTCTGCTCTGATTGGTCAGACGGCCCAGTCTGTTGTGATTGGTCTACTCTGCTCTGATTGGTCAGATGACCTAGTCTGTTGTGTTTGGTCTACTCTGCTCTGATTGGTCATTAGGATCCAGTCTGCTGTGATTGGTCTACTCTGCTCTGATTGGTCAGATGGTCCAGTCTGTTGTGATTGGTCTACTCTACTCTGATTGGTCAGACGACCCAGTCTGTTGTGATTGGTCTACTCTGCTCTGATTGGTCATTAGGATCCAGTCTGTTGTGATTGGTCTACTCTGCTCTGATTGGTCAGACGACCCAGTCTGTTGTGATTGGTCTACTCTGCTCTGATTGGTCAGATGACCCAGTCTGCTGTGATTGGTCTACTCTGCTCTGGTTGGTCAGATGGTCCAGTCTGTTGTGATTGGTCTACTCTGATTGGTCAGACGACCCAGTCTGTTGTGATTGGTCTACTCTGCTCTGATTGGTCAGATGACCTAGTCTGTTGTGTTTGGTCTACTCTGCTCTGATTGGTCATTAGGATCCAGTCTGCTGTGATTGGTCTACTCTGCTCTGATTGGTCAGATGGTCCAGTCTGTTGTGATTGGTCTACTCTACTCTGATTGGTCAGACGACCCAGTCTGTTGTGATTGATCTACTCTCCTCTGATTGGTCAGATGACCCAGTCTGTTGTGATTGGTCTACTCTACTCTGATTGGTCAGACGACCCAGTCTGTTGTGATTGGTCTACTCTACTCTGATTGGTCAGACGACCCAGTCTGTTGTGATTGGTACTGCTTACAGCATGTGTCAGAAAAGAATCCTCATCTTGTGGAAGTAATCAAAGTGGATTGGCTTATTGCAAACAAATCTACGTAGGTTCATGCAGGAGGAAGTAAGACTGTATTACTTACATCATTTCAGCCCCTGGACTCTGTTGACATTAATTGTACAGATTAAAACAGCCAAAACATTCTTCAAATTATCTTCTTTTGTGTTCTGCAAAAGAAAGCAAGCAACAAGGGTTTAGAATGAAATTATAGTGAGTAAATAATGACAGAATTGTAATTGTTGGTTGAACTATACCTTTAACAGCTCTCAGGTTTTCATGCACTCACTGACTTGTTCATTAGACAGGCCTATTGCATGTCTGCACAGGCTGTGTGGTGACTTTGTAATATTGTTTGATTGCACGCAGAGGAATGCCATGTTTTCGTAGGTAGGCTCCACGTGGAGTCTCAGCAGAGAGTGGAAAAAGTGAGAGTGTGTGTGTATGCTTCCAGGATTTAGCCAGGTGCCAATCCCCCGGCATTCCTGCGCTGACCTCGAATGCTTTTTCCCTCCACCGCCTCCAGGGGAGGTCTGTCTCAGCAGGGCCGAGCGGGCTAGGTCGAGTCCAGGGGCGGATCTGAGGAACAATCAACAGAAATATGCACAAACAACAACACAAACTGGCCATAATCGCACTCTCCATCTACGCTGAGGTCTGTTAGAGTTCACCAGTGAGTGGAGAGATGGGGTCTGTGCAGTCAAAGGCCGTTCGCAAGCTGTTTTTAGAAGTTCAACAGTTCACTGCAGAAATGTGAAATAGAAAAACGGAGAGAATGGGTTCTGCTTCAACTGCATGGAGCCCGCAAGCATACTCACACTTTTCTGTCATGAAAAAAATATGAATTTTTCCTCAAACAGCCAGATTGTAGGGAATTCTTCTGATTTAAGGACATTGTACACTGAGTCCATATGCATTTTTCCGTATTCGGTGCTCTGAATTGTCGAAACACCATTCAAACACCATTCAAACTCCTTGCTATGGATGAGAAAAACGCAGAAAATCGAACCCGATTCGATTTTTTTTTATGACGGACAGAATTTTCGGAGGCAATGTGCATGAAAGTGTGACTGACATAATGGAGGTTGTATTTATTTTTTAACGTGCGAAAATTTCGGACGTGAATTTCGATCTCTTTAGAGTTTACATACACTTTAAAGGTTTGATGACTGTTTTTATTTTATTTTAGTATTATTTTTTTATATGCTATACTAGGGATGCACCGATATGAAAATTTTAGCCGATACCGATAACCGATAATTCTTTATATTTGAAAGCCAATAACTGATATATCGGCTGATAAACTTAAATCCAAATTTTTATCTAATTTTGAGAGCCTGATTACAAATACAAAAGTCTCACAATTCAATCCATGTCCCAAGCGCACAATTACAATGATGTTCTCATTATAGTGTTGTATAGCCGATATGACAGATTTGCGCTGTACATGATGTACCGAACAATATTTTCATTTTTTGAAGAGATTTCTATCATATTTCAAGCAATTCAAAAACATAAACAGTGCTCAACAAGTGTCTCAGCTGAAGGGAATAATACATTATGTATCGGCTTTAATATATCGGCCACATTTTCTTACCAGGCCGATACCGATATCGATATGCTGGCTAATATATCGTGCATCCCTATGCTATACTATTTAGAATTTTATTTTTGTGTAATTTAAAGAAATGGGATTGGATAATGGGATCGTTCTGTGATACTTTTGCATCTTTTTTTAACAAGCTTAATGGTGGTGGCGGTGATGGCGCACTGGATAAGACACATGCCTTTGGTGTGACCCAGGTTCGAATCCACGGTGAGACACCAATGTGTCCCTGCGCAAGACACTTAACCCCTAGTTGCTCCAGAGGCGTGCGACCTCCGATATATATAGCAATTGTAAGTCTTTTTGGATAAAAGCATCAGCTAAATGAGTAAATGTAAATGTAATGCTAGGCGCTATTCACTGCCATTATATGGAGGAGCGCATGTGGCATATTTAAAAAATAAAATTGTCCTTTTGTAGTACACGACAGAAAGAAGGGCACAGGGCATTAGATGAACACCAGGGTGAGTAAATAGTAAAATGTAATTTTAGGGTGAACTACACCTTTAAAGTAAAGCTAACTGCAGACTAGCATATGCATTTTGTAGTCAGTGATAAATCTCATCTTGTTTACCAAATTGTGCGTTCCACTTCTCTGACATAACATTCTTGTCTATTTAGGAGATGCCTTAAAGGAGAACTCCGACGCAAAATGAACCTTTGGTCTAATAAAACATCGGTACCTAGTCGACCGTTCTCTGACATTTGTTTTCATGATAATCGAATGTAAAGAGTTTTATCTCTAAAAACTGTTTAGCGTATAATGCTAGTACTGGGGGCATTTAATATGTAAAAAAAAATCGCTAGTTTATACCACTAACAAGGCTCAAAATAGCCCCACACTAACACAGTAACATAATGAGGCTCCATACATGCAAAACAAAGCATTGAGAACTTTGTAAGTGTACAGACCGTTTAATAAGAAGATATGCTATAAAGATTTGGGGCTATTTTGAGCCTTGTTAGTGGTATTAACTAGCGATTTCCTTTTACTTATTAAATGCCCCCATATAGTGTATACGCTAAACAGTTTTTAGAGATAAAACTCTTTACATTCAGACTGATCTTATGAAGTAGCGTGTGTATGACACGCCAATTCGTATTTCCATTTTTGGCGTGCTATCAACACGCATAATCGCTTTTCAGCGTGTCTATGAACGCCGTTGACTTAAAGGATTAGTTCACTTTTGAAAAAACTTTTGCTGATAATTTACTCACCCCCATGTCATCCAAGATGTCCATGTCTTTCTTTCCTCAGTCGAAAAGAATACATCTTGGATGACATGGGGGTGAGTAAATTATCAGCAAAAGTTTTTTCAAAAGTGAACTAATCCTTTAACATTAAATTACTGTATATATAAATATATGACTTACCTCAACCCCGTCCCTAAACCTAACCGTCACTGGGGTTAATGGCATTTATGACTGTTCCCTTACCATCCTAGGAAAAAAAAGAGCGCTCCCAGATGTAGATCTACATTTTGCTTCGTTTCGCGCGGACATTTGACGGCGTGTACAGACACGCGGAATGACGTGGACGTTAATGGCGTAGACATACACGCATACACGCGGATAGCTCAAAATGCGTAGAGATAACATGCCACTTGACTCGAGTCACTTGAAGTCATGATGTCATGTTGTTACATTCGACTATCATGAAAACAAATCTCAGAGAACGGTCGACTAGGTACCGATGTTTTATTAGACCAAAGGTTCATTTTGTGCCGGAGTTCTCCTTTAAAGTCCCCCCTGTGTTGAAAATCAAGTTTTTAATGTTGTTTATATGTCTATATGGTGTTTTTAATATGCTTTAACACAAACCATGTGCAAATTCATAAGTCGACAGCATTGCTGAGTGTTTATAAAACTGCAGTGAACCAAAGACAGTCTCAAACACACGGTTTGAAATCACTGGTGTTTCTGATGTCACAAACTACCTTGTAACCAATCAGATCAACGAGTGATCGTCAACCAGTGGATCTCTGAGTGGAGGCGGGGTTCATTTACATATTCATAGAACCGCGTAAACTAAACGAGGAAAAGCTGTAGAGTTACTATTTTAAGGCATGAAGAATTTAAAAAACATTTAAATATGTCATTTTGGTGATCAAAGATGAGTTTTAAGGGATGAAATGATTGACTACACGGGGACTTTAAGAGTAAGTCAAGCTCCTCAACCTTTGAAGAAAAGCAAATAATATGCCAACCTCATGCTTGAATGTTAAAAACCGTCTACTTCTATCCTAAAAGCACAAATTAGCAAAGAAATACTAACCACAAGCAAACAATGAGCGCTTAATATGAGCTGTCTCGTTTCTGTCTGACTCTCAGCATTCCAGCCCCCTGCTTTTCTTTTTCCTACTCTTTGGTGCTCTCTTCCCAATGCGCTTTTTATTCGTTTCAGACGGCGAGAGAAATGCAGACCGCCCTGCCCTGCTAGCACTCTCCAGGCCCTGTTATTGCACGCAGGAGTCTGCGGATTGCATCACTGTTTGTGGCTGGAGGCGGCAGGAATCAAAACGGATTGAGAGACGGGAAAGGAGGAGAGAGAGAGAAAGAGACACCGAAATGATGCCGAGTTGGGGAAAAAAACAAGTCAAGGGCTGGCCAATGCCGATTTAGACAAATTGCCTGAGATTGGTTGCGAAGCTTAATAACTTTGACGTAAAGAAACCCCATTACTCTGATAGATTTTTTTGGTTTGTTACATAAGCGGAGAGAGAGAAAGAGACTTTTCTCACAGTCGAAAACCAAAGTTTTATTCCCTTATATATAAATACACACACACACACTTTTATGGTAGCCGAGATTAATTGATTTGACGATAGATAAACTAAAACAACTTTTTTTAAAAACTAAAAATGTATTAAAACTATTTAAATAATAAAAAGATAATAGTAAAACGACAAATGCACATAACAAAATTAATAAAATCTAAATTAATAATGACAATATAAGTTATGCAGACATCATTTTTGGCCAGGCTGTCATACAAAGAAATTATGAACGCATACAAAAACAAGAAAACCAATGAAATATATAAATAACTGGTTGTGTCAATTAATGCTATATATTTATTTTAAAAAAAGTAGCTGCAGTCTGCCGTTCTTGCCAAAAAAAAAAAAAAAAAACCAAAAAGATAAAAATTTGTCAGATAAAATATCTATTTTGATGGTTTATTTTAACTTATAGGGTAATTATAAACAATCCCCTCCAGACATCACTTTTGGCCGTATAATGGATATAAAAAAAGAATAAAAAATATAAAATGTTTGTCCCTTTGGATATTACAGCAAAGCAACTCTAGTCTGCAAGAGACACGAAGATTGAAAGAGCTGCTCTCCGAAGACAATTTATTCAGAGATAAACAGCTATGAAATATGCATTACACTAAATGTGACCGGGAGAATTCAACGTTACTAATCATTCATCATCGAGTCAAGTCACATTTATTCATAGTGCAATATTAATGTTGAGCACATAGCGCTAGCAACGGCAAGGCCTCGGGTTCGATGCAGGGAAAACAAGAACTTATCAAATGTAAACGTGAACGTAAGTCACTTTAGATAAAAGCATCTGCCAAATGCATAAATGCAAATTCAGTTCAACAATAAAGCAAATCAATAATAGTGCAAATTTCATTTAAACGTAGCTTAATATCAGTCAATAGCGAATGCATGGACGATATGGTAACACTTCAGCTTGTTAAGCATAATGCATTATTCATAATATACGTTATAATTGCGAAAATTAATACTAACCAAAGTTAAAATATTTGCAGATTCCTTGTTGCATCTGA